GGGAAATTTCCTTCGGGTTGCGACCAATTCGGGGTGCGACCAGTGTCACGGAACGAATTAAGTTTGTAAACTGAGGTTCCACTGTATATCCCAGTTAATTTGTTTTCTCAGTGCGGATTTTCCTTTGGAAATTAATATCTAGCCAGGTCCTAGCCTATTTTTTAAAACCCTTCTTATATACTGTTCTGCATTTTGTTTGGACTCCACCAGCAAGTCAAGTCAGTTTCAATGCTGTAGTATGAGCTCAGATATGGACACAGATACATGCATATCATCTAAACTGGGCCACATGTAAAATGAGTTGGATTTGGTTTTGTTCTCTTATTGACAATCTGTTCTTCATCCTAATGTATTGTAACCCGCTGTGTATCTTTTTTGATTGTGGTAGATTTAAATAACCAAAGTATTTTTCCCTAAAGAAATTAATATGTGATTTCACTGGCAATGACTATGTGCTGTGCATTAAAGATGAATCTTGATGACATTCTTGGCTATATCACCAGAATTTAGAATCTCTTAAGACATTAAGAATTATGAATTTGGGGGACGTGAAGGCTTACTAAAAGAATGATCATTCTACACTGATTTGTCTGATTTTATATGATTTTGGCAATGGACTGTTGATACGTGTTCTTTGTCAACATTTGAATTAATTCTCTGACTCAGGCAAAGAGGAAAAAGAAAACTTTTAAGCAATATGGTCAATTTTTTTGGAATTGTTTTATTTATAACCTAATTTTCTTGGCCTTTTTTTTGTTTTGTTTTAATCTGTATTACTATTAATTTTGGATTTACGTTTTAATACTATTATATTCATCTACTCTTTTCTGTTAATTAGTTTAGCATAATTAGTTCACATTAATTTTATCAATTAATGTAAAACCATCCTCATATGACCTCTCTCTTAAAAATGAACTATCCTAGGTTTTAATTAGCAACAACTATGTGCTATTCTCATAAAACTACTACTGAATTATACAACTGCTCATTAGCATCATTATCTGTACAGCATCATTATATGTATAGTAATGATATTAAAAACTATTAAATTTAGTTATGGTCTACTCTACAACAATGAACACAACGTACACTATAAAACAAGTACATACCAAGAATAGAAACTTTGTTACAGCGTATACACAAATTCATGAAAAAGTTCTTCCAAAAAACTATAGCAGCATTTCTCACAAGTCCAAACAATTTAAATTTAATGCAGTGTCCTCCCAGTTTTACACAGTAACTGCATCCTTAGCAATGCTGTTACCAGAAGCATGAAGGGTTGCTTGTTAAAACTGCATATAGTTGGAGCATTTCCATGGCTGCTTAGTAGCCTCTAATTATACAATTATACAGCTAAACAAATTATTTGTAAGAAATATTCAATGCACATATTATACAGGTAACCTGAAAATGACTTACTGCACCAATATGACAGAATTTTCATCCTGATAAGGGATACTGAAATATCTAATGCTATTTCATGTCTAGCCATTACATATGACCCCAGATACAATCATCATTCTCAATATAAACATTAGGTTACAACAACTGTAATCATTTTGGTATATTTTATCCCATGTTTTTTAAAGAAATTTTAGTACAAAACCTCAACCTCAGAACTGTTTTTAAACTGACGAGTTGTTAATTTTTAAATTCAAAATGACTTTAATAATAATTTGCAGAGATACTCTAAATACAATTTTCATTCATACTATTGTTTTGCCTCTTAATGTCTGTATGCCAACAGAAAGCATGGTTCTTTTTTGTTCAAAGGAAACCAAAAAATCTTACATCATTTTTCATAACGTCTGGATTCACGTTTGCATTCAATCATGTTTAACTATGGTTTATTGAATAAGCCATAATCAGCTGTATTCAGTAATGCAAAACTAAAACCACATTATACTTTAGAGTAATATGTCTCTCACTGGTAATTTTCAATACTGAGAAACCTTGCTTTTGTTCTTCCAACATTCAATTTTAAACATTTTGCTTAATAATACTGATATTTTCTGTCTCTAATAGTATTAAGTGCTATATCTTATGTTGAGAGGTATACAGTTGGTAACATTAATTACCAGGTTTATGTTTCTACTAATCAATCATATTTGGCATTCTGTTGAGAACATAATAGCATTAACAGCCTGATCCTAGGACCAAGATCTCAAAAAGACATTTACCAGTTTAATATTAGGTACAATGTATTACCCAATTGCTACTCTATAGGAAGACCACAGCTATAATATGCTGAATTCACAAATGCTATAAAAATCCAATGAAAAAGCTAAAAGAATCAACTCCCCCATCCTCACGCAGAAGCCTAACCCTACTGAAACTGTAGGTAAGTAGTGATTCAAGTTCAGCTTGATTAACTTTACTTTTTGGCTTGGATTAAGTCTATTTCTGAGTGGAGTTCTACTAATAGGGCTATCCAGCTAGAAGAACTTATGGAAGAGTCTGTGATCTCTGAAAAAAAAAATCTTCAACAGATTGGGGATACCCTAGAACAGCACTAGGAGTTGCAGCTGGACTGGGTGAAATTTAATTCCACCCTCTTCTTTCTGAAAGAACTTCCATAGGAGTTCAGTCCCTTCTGAAAATGAACTATTCTATTGGCAAAAAGGATATCAAATCTATCTAACTAGAAAAAAATTGCAGGAATATCAGATCAACAAAAGTAATTTGTCAGCATTGTTGATGTTACTTAGTCAGGTAATGAAATGTCTGCAAGCAAACAACCAAGCTCAGAGAGCACCAAGGATTCCACAGTTCAACCCTGACCTACTGTATATATATTCTCTTCTATTGGTAATTTGTCAACAACTTAAAATATTAAAAAGTTACTATTTTAACCATTTGTTTTCTGGATTCCAAGACATATGGATAGGGAAAGAGACCACATTATAACTAAGTGCTAAAAATATTTATACACATATACAGTGCAACACTGATATTTTTAAAAATGTTTCATATACAACATGATGCATTAAATGTCCTAGTTTTCACTTTGAAACTACGACTGAATACTACTGTCCTTATTTAAAATTGCATGGCTATTTTTACATATGGAGCATGTTTTACCAAGCTCAATAAGCATACCTCTTGAGCTTTTTTTGCCAGTTCCCTCTGAATTTTTCTTTTCTCTATCATATCTTGTTCAATTCTTCGCTGCCTCTCCTCTTCCATCCTTTTCTTTTCTTCTTCTTGCCTCTGCTTTTCCATTTCTGCAAATTTTCCTTTGACAGTTCCTATGAACACACAGAACAAAAACTGAATGCTTCCAATTCACTTCTGGTGCTATTTTCTGAAGAAATTCATGTATAAAATATATATAATTATTAATATTTTCTAATTTTCTGAGCTACCTAAAAAGTGGCATTTGAAGCAGTAAAGCAATAATCCAAATCTTAAAGAAAAAAGTACAATGCCTAGAATAAAAATTACTTACAAAACCATAAAACTTAGGAGCAAGCTACATGTTATTTAAAATGTGACTAACTAAATAGCCCATTTTTTTCAAACTGATTATGTGTCATCTGCAGTGAAAGTACACCATGATCTGATCCAGGTTGGGACTACCACATGCAGGGAGAAGAAAAGCATAATCCATACCCCAAGATTATACCCCAAGCTGGCCCAGGGGTTGAAACTAAGATTTATTTAGCACCAAGGGCAATTTCTTCTTAAACTGTACACTCAAGGGATTGTGGTGGGGATTTTTTTAAGCAGAAAGAGGAGGGGAAGCATTTCGCCAGAGCTTCAGATCTGGGCAACAATTACTGGATGGAAGCAAAAAGATGTATCTCTTTGCTGCAATGAAGTAGTTATCGAGACTCTGCAGCTTACATCTACAAATTAATCTCACAATTAAGATCAGGCTATTGTGAGTTTGAGTTGGAGTAACAAATCTGCAAAGGATTGCAGAATAGGCATGTTTGGGCTTTCTTAACTGATTTTATTATTGGAAACCACCTGAGAGCTATGAGGTGGTAGTTTCTAGAGATACATAGATGCCAAATTGTGGAGAGTTTTAAACATCAACACTTTGAATTGGTCTTGAAACATGTAGGCAACCAGTGGAGTTGGACTAGAGCAAAATATGCTGTACAGGTGGTCCTCTCTTACTGACCACTTGTTCAGCGATTGTTCGAAGTTACTCGAAGTTCCAGCTGTTGCACCACCCCTGCGGTCACATGATCATGATCTGGGTGCTTGGCAACCAGCTTGCACTTAAGATGGTTGCAGTGCCCCACAGTCACACAATCACCATTTGCAACCTTTCCTGCTGGCTTCTCACAAACAAAGTCAATGGGGAAACCAGCACTGAAGGTCGCAAATCTCTCAGGCAAGTCTCCCCCACCCAGCAGCAGCTGCCCTGGGCCCGAAAATGCTCAGGCGTGCTGCTGCAACCACCCAGACACCCTCACCCACTCAGCACCAGACACCCCTCGGCCTGAAATTGCTTGTGCATGTCGCTCCATCCACCTGCGCACTCTCCCCCACCCAGCAGCAGCCACCCCGGACCTGAAATCACTCGCAGGCACCACTGCAGCCACCCACGCAACCTCCCCCACCCGGCAGCAGCTGCTTACCTGCCTGCCAGCCTGCTTGCGAACCGCCTGGGACTTGCAACTTCCTGCAACAGCGGCTCCCCCACTGACTCTGGTTGTTGGAATCCAGCAAGAAGTTGCAAGGAGGTCCTTGCTTAATAACCTGCGATTCTTGCTTAACAATGGCAACAGTGACTGCCAGGATTGCCGTCACTAAGCAATGCAATCACGTGATGTCACACTTTATGACCGCATTGCTTAGCAACAGAAATTCCAGTCCCAATTATTGTTGTTCAGCGAGGACTATCTATATCTTGTTCTTGTCAGCCGGGAAGTTGCAACATTCTGTGCCTGCTACATTAATCAAATGCCTTGAAAAACACACCCTCCAGGCTCCAGAGTGGTACAGTAGTTAGAAGCACTGGATCAGAAGCCAAGGGACTATGAGTTCTAATCCTGAATTAGGAAAGGAAGCCATCTGGATGACCTTGAGTCACTCATTACTTTTAGTCCTAAAAAGGCAGCTATGGCAAGACTAACTTGCCATTAGCTATCTATCTACAGTCAGGTCCAGAAATATTGGGACATCGACACAATTCTAACATCTTTGGCTCTATACACCACCACAATGGATTTGGAATGAAACAAACACAATGCAGTTTTGTCTTCAGCAAGTGAAATGCATGCTCAATGGGATTCAGGTCAGGTGATTGACTTGGCCATTGCATAACATTCCACTTCTGTCCCTTCAAAAACTCTTTGGTTGCTTTTGCAGTATGCTTTGGGTCATTGTCCATCTGTACTGTGAAGCGCCGTCCAATGAGTTCTGCAGCATTTGGCTGAATGTGAGCAGATAATATTGCCCGAAACACTGCAGAATTCATCCTGCTGCTTTTGTCAGCAGTCACATCATCAATAAATACAAGAGTGGGACATCGACACAATTCTAACATCTTTGGCTCTATACACCACCACAATGGATTTGGAATGAAACAAACACAATGCAGTTTTGTCTTCAGCAAGTGAAATGCATGCTCAATGGGATTCAGGTCAGGTGATTGACTTGGCCATTGCATAACATTCCACTTCTGTCCCTTCAAAAACTCTTTGGTTGCTTTTGCAGTATGCTTTGGGTCATTGTCCATCTGTACTGTGAAGCGCCGTCCAATGAGTTCTGCAGCATTTGGCTGAATGTGAGCAGATAATATTGCCCGAAACACTGCAGAATTCATCCTGCTGCTTTTGTCAGCAGTCACATCATCAATAAATACAAGAGTGGGACATCGACACAATTCTAACATCTTTGGCTCTATACACCACCACAATGGATTTGGAATGAAACAAACACAATGCAGTTTTGTCTTCAGCAAGTGAAATGCATGCTCAATGGGATTCAGGTCAGGTGATTGACTTGGCCATTGCATAACATTCCACTTCTGTCCCTTCAAAAACTCTTTGGTTGCTTTTGCAGTATGCTTTGGGTCATTGTCCATCTGTACTGTGAAGCGCCGTCCAATGAGTTCTGCAGCATTTGGCTGAATGTGAGCAGATAATATTGCCCGAAACACTGCAGAATTCATCCTGCTGCTTTTGTCAGCAGTCACATCATCAATAAATACAAGAGTTATGTCGATGTCCCAATATTTCTGGACCTGACTGTATGTATCTATCCATCCAAAATAGTATATTATTAATATATTATATAGTAATACACACATTAATATATTAATAATAATATACACATTAAACAAATGGACAGTAGGTTTTTATTTCAACACTGGTAATAGGATACTGCAGAAGCAGAATGTTTTAGGCAGTGTACAGCACGATACTAAAGCATTGATAATGGAGGTCAAGAACCTTGTTGAATTCAAATTTCTCTTACCTATCAGTTTTGGAACATAGGCTTTCTCTACTTTAGAAGACTTTTCTTCTTCATCATCAGAAGCAAGAAGTTCTTTCATCTGAATAATGGATCAAAGATATTAATGTGGACAGTCTTAAAAACTCTGGTACATATTTATATAACATTCAAATATATTTTCTATACCAGTATTGTAGTATAAATGAAATAAAAGCAACAGAAACAAATAATTGCAAAGGAAATGACCTCCTGCTTTCGCCTGTTCCATTCTTTCTCTCTAATATATTGTTCCTTTCTTCTTTGCTTTTCTTCTTTTGTTCGTCGCTGATTTCTTTCTTCCCTTGATTTCTGCATGGCTTCAAATTTATCCTTTACATCACCTTTTCGAAGTTTGGGCACATAGGACTTTTGTACAGGTTTAGATGAAGAAAGCAGAATCTTAGTGAAGATGTAGAAAAGGCAAAGATCAGGAAAAGGTGATAGAAGCAGATGAAGATACATTGCACAGTGTGTTAGATAGATAGATGCATACTATATCTAGCTATTCCATTTTTATGGAAGCAACATGCAAATGAAAGACAAGCAGTAAGAAATAGTGGGCGAAAGAAATTAAAGATGTCAGATTAAAAAAAAAAAAAAAGGAAAGTTGCCTAAAACTAGTTTTACCAACATTGTTTCCTATATTTCTCCATAGGGCTCTAGCCTTCCAAACCATGCTTGCTTCCACCACTTCCATACGCTGCTTCATACACTGCCTTCAATTCTGTAAACTTCTCATCTCTCTCTTTTAGAGGATCTCATGTCGATCCAACTTTCAGCAAACATTCATTCCTCACACAGACCTCACACTACCCACTAACTTTTTACCAGCATTTGTACCTTTTCATCCATTTTCCAAACATTCTGCCAAGGTCCATTAACTGATTGGCTTGCTCTAGTTTTTTACCATTTATGTATAACTTGCAATTATTCATTCAATCTTCCCTATCAAATCCAACTGTCTTAGTCTTCAATGATCATTAGATCAATTCTTTGTTGTATCATATAGTCTAATATTCATTGCAAATCATTCAAATTCACAGCCAACACAAGGCTGACTTCATATAGAAGTATACACACATTCATGGCCCCCAGTCAACACACCTGTAAAGTTACCACAAGCATTCCTTATACCTTTGTCTATAAACACACTAAACCCAGGCAAGATACGTTTGTTTTTCCCCGGCTCAGTGCTGAACCATTTATTAAGGATTCCATATATTCTCATGCATACTTTACTTCCATCATATATACTCTTACTGCATTCAGCAACTATCCTTCAGTTTCATATTTTGGCAAAACATTCCATAATTCCAGCATCTTGGCTTACATATTTTCTCTAAATCAACAAAATGCCTTTGAACACAGCATTCAGGCTTGTTAATAATAATATAATACAGATTAAGAACTGAACTAAAATTAAATATTAATATTTTTGTGGACAAATTGTATACTAGTAAGGCATCAATTTTTCAAAAAACCTAGTTAAAACATATTTTAATTTTAAATAAATCTGTCTGCATAAACATGTCATTATCTCCAAGTAATGTTGTAAATTATAATTTATGCCTCTTTATACTATTTTCAGATTATAGAAAAACACCAACATTCATTATAAGTACTTTTGTTTTAGATCTCATACATACCTCTGTCTTCTGTGCGATATCAGTCATGATTGCTTTCTGTAGTCCAGCAAGAAATGTATGCAAAAATGTCCGTTTTCAGTTTTACCTTTACAAGACAAACACACAAAGCTATATATAAACCATAGCTTTTTAAAAATCTTCTAATAATTTAAAGAATGGAATCATGTTGTAAACCATCAGAAGTCTTGCTAGAATGCATTGTCCCATAAGTACAGTAAATACATCAGTGCCTTGAGTTGGAAAGATAAGGCTACCATATATGGGATGCAAAAACTTACTTACTTACTTATATATGCAATTTATAGCCTACCCAATTTACAGCAGCTCTGGGTGGCTTACAATTAAAAAAATTAGAAAAGACAAAAGAGAGATTACAAGCAGCCCACAGACAAACATATACAGCAAACCAAACTGACCCATACAGCAGGGCCTCAACCATCACCCTGCCCAAAGCCTAAGAGAATAGCCAGGTCTTTAATAGCTTCCTGAATGCCTTGGGGAAAGCCATCTAGATCTCTAGAGGGACCTCTTCAAGAGGGCAGGCACTGTGACAAAGAAGGCACGCCTCCTGGGTCCCTCTAGATAACGCTGCTTGACCGATGGGACCCAAAGTATACCCACAGGATACACAAAAACTCTCTTTGCTGCCATCAAGTGATCATCCAGATCCCAGCAGTCCAGATATGAAGGTCCTAAAGCAGGATCTAGCTCTAATTAATTTTTTTTACCAATTCAGCATGGGTCAGATGATTCTCAGTCTATAGACTCAGTTTATACATTGAACTAAGGCATGAGTTGAATAACCATGGTATGATGAATAAACCACAGTTAGCTGAGTTCACATGCTGAGCTAAGCTAAAGCTAAACAAATTCCACTGTACCTTGTAAGAACACTGCCATTAAGTTCTAAGATGGGAATTCAGTTTTTCTGAATGCAGATAAATGTTTATTTAATCATGGTTTTGCATGATATGCAAACCAAGTTAATCTCAGCTGGGGTCATTTCACCCTTTTCATCTGTAGATACCTAAAATAATTTAGCATACAGTTAAATACGTAGTGTGTGAATGCCCATCATATGTATTTGTAAGCATAATGGGAAACTTACTACAAAAGCAGAATTGCAGCAGCTTTCTTAACTTTCCTTATAATAATATAAAGCAGCATTTATTTTATGGAAAAATTGAAGCATTTAAATTTAGCTCAGCTGATTGAAACTGTTAAGGATACCCCCCTTGTCTCCCCTGTTAGGAAGATATGGCACAGCTGGGCTTAGATGTAAGAAATTAATTGTCTGGCTCCAATGCCATTGTGCTTAGCCTCAGTTTTTCTGACTGTAACATGTGGATAATGTTATGTCAGCTCATGCAATGGTTGTAAGGATCAGCACAGTAAGAATGCTGAACTAGTTTGCAGTTTAAAAAGTGCCACACTACAAATAATACAAATTGATGCATTTGAATTTTTTTACTTTTTCTTATTAATCTCCATCATAGAATTTAAACAACATCTTAATGCTTATTGTAACTCACAAAAACCATAGTTTACACATATCACTGGTTTCACTAAACCAAAATCGAACCAACTGCTATATAGGCACTTTCACATGACATACTAAGCCAGCCTGTCTGGTTAATGAGGCACACAAATTGCCTTCTTAACCTGGGCCGGTGCAGCTACTTGCTTTTCCTAAAATTAAGCATATTGTTCAATATGGGAGCACCTTTATTGGATGTGGATAATACATTTAACCATGGGAGAGCCACTCATGGTGGTTTAGAAACCAGACAAAATGGACAGCATATTACACCAACAGATGCAATTGCTCTCTGTGACGTGTGGGCCCAGCCATTCAGGCAGCACTTCAATTCCTATTTCCTATATTTTTCCTGGTCCTTCTGCCAGCATGTTCACATTACTGTACTGCCAAAACCTGTACCTCTCCTCTCATGAAACTGTTCAGTAGGATAATCTTTTCACTCATTTATTTACAGAATTTGTAGTACTGATTCTACAGTACTCTACAGTTTACAAAAAGCTGCATGAAGTCTGTAAACATAGTAAAAGCAAATGCACGACCCCAAAACCAGCATCCAAAGAACAGCTATCTTGTTCCTCATCAATTAAAAGATCTGTGGAAGATGTTGCAAAAGCTTGAAAGGAATTTAGTATGACAAAGAGCCAGGCCAATGGCATGCACTTCCCATTCTAGTGCAAATGTATTTCCCTACTTTGGTTTAATTAATTTTTGTCTTGGATAGAGTGTTACATGTTAAATCTGATGTAAGTTTACAGACTTTTCTGGATGGAAAAATAGACATAGAGCAACCCCTTCCTTGAGCTAAGCTCTATTCCTAGTGACTACATGCACATCTTGCCAATAATACAAAAGTAGATTGCCATTAGATTCTTCTGGTGTTTTTTTTTAACTTTCCAGTCTACTCTAGAGCCATTAATTCCCCCTCGTAATATCCCATATAAGTACTAACCAAATCTTTTTAGCTTTTTTAGATCAGCCAAGGTCTGAACAATACTCCTGAACTGGCAGGTTTGCATTGTAGCTAGTCCTATATCCACCCCTACTTGTAGCTGGAATGTGGCTAGAATCACATTTTGCACCCTCCATTTTATATAGCAAATGCCCTTTTAAAAAAATGAAACTTGATGTTATCTCTTCAAGGCAGGCAAAGTCAAGAGGGAAGCACAGCAGGAATTCTAGGAACATTTGTTGTTGTAACACAGAATAAGAGAAACTTAAAAACTTGTCAGGTTTTTTCTCTACTCCAACTTATACGAAACAAAATCAAGGCGGGATTATTTTGAGTTTCTTTCTCATGCTTTCCTCTTTCTCAGAACTGAGTAATCTTTTCTGAAACTCCTCCCTTAACAGTTCCCTTTCCAAGGCCAAGTCTACATTCTTTCACACTGTACACAGTTATTCAAGCAGTAGCCATTTCCATGTTAGTTTACTGCAATGTGCAGTACATTATAGATTAAATAGAAACTTCACTTAATTCAAGTGCAAATGTCAGAATAACTGATGTCAGTCAATCATATCATTTACACAGACCTTCTACCAATTTTAGTTTGCCAATTTGCTTCCACACTGAAGTGCTGACCTTTAAAAGTCTTAGTGACCTGATATTACAACTTCTGTATCCCCTGTGATCCACAGCAATCTTTCCAAACAAAAAGTGTAGCCTCAAGTTCAAAACAACTGCCCATCCTGGCATAGCTGGAGCAGATACTTAATCAAATAGAGCTTTTTGGTTTATCCTCAGTCATAAAACTTGATTTAAAAAACTGCTCCTAGCTTGGGTTAAAACATCCATCCTCCAAAATGTACCATGGATAGAGTTTTAGTTATTTTACTACCCTGTCCTATGTTCTTGAGGGCAGATACTATTCCTTAATATTCCTTTAACAAAAATGCTATCTTTACTTTTTTATGTTTTATTGATTTTATTGTAATTTCTTTGTGTGATTGTTGTGAGCCGCCCAGAGTTGTTGAGAGTCAGGCAGTGTTCAAGTTTAATAAAATATTATTATTATTCCTCTGTTTGGTCTGTATGGCCAATGGAGTCACAAAATTAATCTATTCAGATGCTTAGAAAAGCCATAAGTATACTGAATGACCAAGCAGAAAACAAGGTTGGCTCCATCTTTACTTCCAAAGCTTTTCTGCCAAATTTCCTCTCCTTGACCAGTTTCAAATATTTGCAGCAACTACCTAGAATGGGCAAGGCAGAAAGTGGTGAATCCCAACAACTGAACTGTTTTCTCACTGGGAAGCCTACTGCACAATTAGACTGTGCTATCATTCCAGCAGTGGCTGCAGAGTTTGGTTCATGCAGTGGGATGCATACATGTACAAACATACAGACATAAGGTATTTTGCTGGTATAGCTTACTATAAAGGACTGAATTATATTTTTTGGTACCTTGTAATGGTCCATATGCCTTAATGTCTACCTATGGGAGAAAAGCAATGCTGAACAATGTATAACTACAGACATGACAGATGCAGTTTGGTGAAACAACAGGATATACATGAAATACTAGATATGTAGGATACTGTATTGCATTCAAATACACATCAACGAGAGTGCATACTCACAGAAAGGATCAACATGAAAAGGGAAATGTGCCAATGCTCTTCTTTCAACGCAAGTGCAAACAAGAATTTCTGGCAAATATTACTTGAACACCAGCATAAGCAGATATTACAAACCTGAATTGCAAGTTTATAAAAAGGTAGGAATATTTAATTAGGAACCCAGCCCATTTTTCTCTCTGATTTTTTCCTTCCACTTTAAAACCATCACTTTCTCCTTAAAGCAGATTGAAAGGTCATCAGCTGGCTTATTTAACTCTTTTTTTAATGCTAGCATCGCACTCTATTAAGCAGATTTAATCTAAATATCTGCATATTTAAACAGGTAACAGTCTGACATTTGCAAATTTATACAAGTTATTTTGTCTTACCAAAATGCTTTTAAAGGGCTTTTTGGAAGAGAGGTTGAAATGTTGGATGAGACATTCATTCATTCATTCATTCATTCATTCATTCATTCATTCATTCATTCATTCATTCAGTATGCCGCCCATCTCCCCTGGAGATGGGTGGCATACAAATTTAAAGTTAAAATAATATTTTCGTAGACTGGAAAAATATATTAAATATTTGTGAAAGCAAGAGTATGCTCTATAATAATATACATACATAAGAGATAAACAAAATTTAATATCCATGTAATCATTAAAAAAATTTAAAAATCAAATATTTACAATTAGGTGTTTTTTTTAGATTTTAAAATAAGGTACCATGTGTGTAGATACTTTAGAGAAAGTGGCATAATTTTTCAATGCTAACTTTAAGGATAATTATCACAACAGAAAATGCTGTTGAATTTATTAAATAAATAAAGTGTGATCTTCTAAACTTCACAGAAAGATAGGGCTTCTTGATCTGAAACAAGAAGCAAGTTGCTACCAAAGACCTGAAGCTGGCCAGGAATTCCTAATTCCTAAGATGAAATATGCTTAAACTAAACTCTCTCAGGATGTGAGACATGCCACCTCTGA